ACCGTCGTCTACTTCATAGCCAAAGGGTGGCGACGTGTCGGCCGACACACGAGACCTCTTCGGAGGCGACGAACGGTTAACAATGGACTCGCGTTTGCGTTTGCTTTGACTGTTGGCCGCAGCCGTCATCGACGGCGACACCACAGGACTCGCTGTCATCTGGTCGTCGCCCTTAACGTCGACCACTCGGGCCTCAAACTCTTGGCTGTCGTGCAAGTGCTTCAACGCCTTCCGGAGCAGCGATTTCTGAGCCATATTCAGGTCCGGCAGAAGCGGCAGATCCTCCTTCAAGTCGAAGGCGAGCAGCGAATCCCTGTCCTGATAGCCGTTATCGACCATCACATCAATGGTCTGGCGATCGACGGACGAGAATTGGCTCAAATACCGGTCGGTGTAGTCGTTGTCCACTTCCATGCGTTGCTCTTCGCTCTCATCGGTGAACACATGACTGATATATCTGTGAATTGAATTCATTTTGTGGCCAAACGAGTGGTTCAAAGACACGGATCAAGTCTTCGCCGATCCAAAGATGTGTTGCGTTTGAAAACCGTTTGTTGTTTTTGAAGCGTATTTTGAAATGTGTAGTGACTGTCGCGCACGCGCTGTGCATACGTTTGCGTTGTGTTTTTTGTTGATTACAATCCACGCAATCGAACGCAAAACATGAACAAAATATTTGCATAGTTTGCACTCCTGTGGTCTTATCATAGGATTCATTCGTAACAAACGTTACAATTAGTTAAGCGGAATTGTGACAGAAATTGCTCTATAATTGCTTGCGTTAGACCTAAACCCCCACTCATGGGGTACTTAAATAGAGATAAAATCGTCACGTAATGCTTGAATGGTCCCAATTATCACTAAAAATTGCACCAAAACCTCGAAATCGATGCGAAAACGACTGAAAAAACAAAACAAAAAACAAATCTCAAGACATTTGGACACCACTCGAGTGGACACACATTAATGGCCGAATCGGTGGCGCCGTTTGGGCGACAACTTCAGCAGTTGGCGGCCCTTCAGGACGGCTCACATCTGATCCAATTGCGGCAATGGATGACAGAGTCGGCCAACGTTTACGCCGACGTCCTCTCACTGGCCGATCACCTGTTGGTCAACAATCCGAAGCTGTCGGGCATTAAGTCATCGCTTCCCTACGTAGTCGTCGAACAGTTCCAGCAGTTCGTGAAGAACTCGCCCAACGGTTCCCAACTGGCGGCTCAACTCTTGACCAAAAGCGTACGCAAACGGGCGCTGAGTTTCGCGCTGAAGAGGAATAACAAGACGTGGCTCGACATCATCGCCGATGTCTACCACTTGACGACACTCGAGGTGACGGATCTGCTCGATATTATACAACACCTGTTGTCCGACAATAAGTTCTTCGAGGCCTCGCTTCTGGTCATTAAGTGTGAACTGAGAGATCACTTCGATATCAAAGACCTGTTGGTTCCGCTTCTGCTGCAGGTGTGCGGACACAGACATGGATTCACTAATTGCTGATCACTTTGTTGTATGTGTTTTAGGATAAGCTAACAGTAGTGGACGACTACATCCGCGGCCACGAGAAGACACACGGCTTTGAATTCATAAAGTTTTTGGACAAATGTTTCGCCGACCGGAGTGTCGGCGACCCGTTTGCCGACCGCATCCCCGGCGCCCGCAGAGACAAACTCGAGCCCAAAGCGCTGGAAAAACTGGTCACTCGTCTGCTTAAACAGCACGGCATCGATGAGACCGCCTGTCCTCACATCGTTGCCCAACGAAATGTTAGACAACTTAGATATCTTCTCTATAAGAGATACCGCGAAGTTTGTCACCAATTAATCCCATTTTTTTGATGATTTATTAATTTGTTTTATGTTTTGTCTATTAAAGAGTGGCTTTTCCGACGGCTCGTGGTCTGAGATTATCATCAATACGGTCGCAGACAATAAGCCGCTTCAAGAAGAGCTTATCTATCAGATTGTGGGTTTTAGGGACCCAAACGAGGCGTTCAAATGGGCTGAACATTACAATATACCCGTCGATCGACGGCCGTATGAAATACAAAATATGATTGAATGCCCGAAAACATCACAAAAGTATAGTTAAACGGACTTTGAATGTGTTATAAATTGATTGATTTGTTTAGTAATAGCGGGCAAAACGACTCATGGGATGGCGGGTGGGGTAATGAGGAGGAGGTGGTGGTGGCCGACAATTACCACACATTGAAACTGTCACTACTCGACGACATCGTATGGGTTAACAGTGAGTCGAAATTTGAGTCAACCATCAAACGGATCATTGAAGTAATCATTTGAAGTGTTTTGATGTTTTTGCTGTCATTTTTAATGCCATTTGTTTATCATTAGAGCTGTGATGTGATCGGTATTGACGGCGAATGGCCGCCAGTTCTCGGCTCGAGCTCTGGCCAAAAGTTATCAATACTGCAGATCTCGACCCGCGATTCGTGTCATATCATAGATGTACTGAAATTAAGTCAATCAACAAAACAGTGGAATCTGTTTACGGAACAGATCCTCAACTCGAATACCATATTAAAAATCGGTTTCGGTATTCATAACGACATAACGGTTATCAAAGAGTCGGTGACAGTGGGCGTAGAGTTTAAGCCGAAGAATGTGTTGGATTTGGCAAAGTTTGTTGAATATATTTTGGGCGAATACCCGGATCTGATCGCCGATTCGGTCCTAACAGACGCCCGAACGCGTGACTTAAAGGGATTGACCAAAACTGTGTTCATACTATTGGGCAAAGCGTTGAACAAATCGGAACAGTTTTCCGACTGGAATCGGCGCCCATTACGCGAGGATCAGGTGAAGTACGCGGCGCTGGACTCGTACTGTTTGATCGAAGCGTTTGATAAATTGCATCAATTGTTTACCGAAAGGAACTATAATTTTAGCGAATTTGTCACTAATTTTGTTTCGGGAAAACTTCATAAAACCCACAAACAGAGTGTCGACGACCAGAACGATAGTCAGCCGGACATCAATTACCCGGAGATGAATGTCAAACAGTTTCGCTGCGTTTGCGATACTATGCTTCAGGGTATTAGCGCTTTCGTTGTGCACATCATTTGCAATGGTTTTAATAGTTATTTTTTTTAAACAATCCACAGGTTTGGGCCGTTATCTGCGAATATGCGGCGCCGACATAGAGATACTGGAGAGCACTGACACTCACGATAAGGCCGCCCGCATAGCCATGGATCAGAAGCGAGTGCTACTGACGTGCGGCGCTCCCTATCAGTACTACAAGAGCCGACTGTCGGCCGGCATGTGTTACAGAGTGTGTAACAACGCCTCGGCCTTCGAGCAAATGGAAATGGTTTTGATTCGCTTCAACATCAAAGTCAACGTCGAAGACCT